TTATCTCCAATAAACCACCAGAAAACTGGAAGTGGTGCTGTGGCTCAGGTGGTAGCTGAAGAGCTGAGGGACAGTGTCCACACCCAGAGTTCAAGCCCCACAACCAACAAAAAATAAAAATGTGCTGGGTGGCTTCCTCTTTCTGTAAGTAGACTGAGGTGATCTGTAAAAATGGTTCATTACTCTCTAGACCCAGAAACCCCCACAAAATCATGCACGTCAAGAAGTTCAAATCTTCGTGTTCACTTTAAGAACTCCAGAGAAACAGCCCAGTCCATCAACAGTATGCATATCCAAAAAGCTACCAAGTATCTGAAACATGTCACATTAAAAAAGCAATGTGTGCCAGTCCAGGATTACTGTGGTGAAGTTGGCAGGTGTGCCCAGGCCAGACAGTGGGGCTGGACACAGGGTCCATGGACCCAAAAGAGTGCTGAATTTCTGCTGCACATGCTTATGAATGCAGAGACTAATACAGAACTGAAGGGTTTAGATGCAGCTTCCTGGTCATTGAACACATCCAGGTGAACAAAGCACCCGAGACATGCCACTGAACTCACAGCACTCATGGTAGGATTAACCCATACATGAGCTCCCCCCGCCACACTGAGATGATCCTTACTAAAAAGGAGAAAATTGTTCTTAAAACAGACAAGGAAGTCTCAACAGAAGAAAAAGGTAACCCAGAAGAAACTGAAGAAACAAAAACTTATGGCATAGGAATAAATTTAGCTTAACATAAAGGCAAATTAAAAACAAGAGTGCTGGGTGAAAACACAAAGCACCACAGCAACTGAAAGAAAGATTGCAGGCCAAGCAGAGCATGCTAGACAGCAGAGGAAACTGTGATGGAGAAAACACAAAAAATACATAAAGAATGTGCATTATGTATGTATGTATTTTATATATACATACTTATATAAAATACATAAAGAATGTGAGATACGGGTCATATATATAATCTATAAGCATATATATATGTATGATCCATATCTCAAAAAAAACTCCATTACACAGCTTAGCTTGTTTGGTTACAAAGTAGGTTGAACAATTTCACAGCTTTTTATTCCCACTCAAAAAACAATGTCATAGATAATGTTGAAAAAACAGAGGAATTGTGGGAATTTCTCTATTAGAAAGGAGAAAGAAACAAACAGTTCTCTTCATCAAAATAGCCCAATTATTTATTTATTTAGTCAGCTTGAACTCAGGGCCTGGGTGCATATCCCTGAGCACTTTTGCTCAAGTCTAGTGCTCTATCTCTTTAAGCCGCAGCTCTCCTTCTGGTTTTCTGGTAGTTAATTGGAGATGACATGGATTTTTCCTGCTTGGGCTGGATTCAAACCACAATCCTCAGAACTAAGACTCCTGAGTAGCTAGGATTACAGGCATTAACCACCAGCACCTGGCATAAATAATTTTTTTAAATTTTTTGCTGGTCCTGGAGCTTGAACTCAGAGCCTAGGTGCTATCCCTGAGCTTCCTGTGCTCAAGGCTAGTACTCTACCACTTGAGACACGGCATCACTTTCCAATTATTTATCATATCACAATAACTGGTGTCTGCCTGTGCAGATTCATTGTGT